CTTCTACCTTCTGATGCTGATCTACAGCTTCACGCAGGTGTGTGGGTGTGTGTGTGCGTGTGTGCGTGTGTGTGTGTGTGTGTGTGTGTGTGTGTGTGTGCGCGCGTGTGAGTGTGTGTGTGCGCGCGTGTGAGTGTGTGTGTGTGTGGTGTGTGTGTGTGTGTGTGTGTGTGTGTGTGTGTGCAAGCGCGCGCGTGGGCGGCAGGGAGCGTGTGTAGGCGGCGTGTGCTGCAGGCGTGGCTGGTGCACGTAACAGTCCCGCAAAGGGCCGCTGCCGCACGCTGGCGGAGGCTCTTGATGCCAGCCTCGGCTGCGTGCTTTGCTGTTCGAATTTCAAAGCCTTGAAATGGCTCCGTTGATCTGACCTGATCTCGACAGGTCCTGGATCTGGGAGACAAGGCTTCAGATCTGGCGGGACTCACCGCCCGCGTCTGCCAGCTCCTGGAGGCCCTCGAGGGAAGCCGCCGCCACGGCGACGGCAGCTGCCCCCCACGCGGCGGCGGCAGCGATGCTCGCCGGCGAGGCAAGGCGTGCCTGTCGCAGGCGGCGGCGCCCGCGGTGGCGGTGGTGGATGGGGACGGATTAGTCACCCTGAGATGGGGCCATGAGGGCGGCGGCGAATCGGAATGCGCTGGGGACGGCGCCGCCCCGTGGGCCGCAGGCGGAGCCGGCCCGCGCGCGCTGCGGCGCCTGCCGCAGCGCCCGGGCGCGTCGCAGACACACGAGCGCTTCGCGGCGGAGGCTCTCATGCTTTGCGCCCCGCGGCGGCTCGGGGTCGACGGCCCTGGCGCCGGCGCCCCTGGCGGCGGCAGGCACGGTGGTGGCAGCAGCGGCGGCGGGGGCATTGAGGTTTCGCTCCACTCGTTGGGCAACGGCGCCCTGCGACGGAGGGCGGCCGAGGTGTTCCCTGGTGCCCCGCGCGGTGGCGCCCTCCTGGCCGCCGTCACGTTTCAGTTCCCTGCCGCGCGGCGCGGCGGTGACATCATCGCCGGCGGCGGTGACGTCAGCGCCGGGGGCGGCAGCCAGTGGGATGAGCTCGAGATGGGGCGGATGCTGGGGGTCTTCCTGGCCTGGGCGGGAGCCGTGCGGGCGCGGCTGGCGGCCAGGTGCGCGCCCCGATTTGCGCTGCGTCTCGTCACCCAGGCAGCGGCAAGGGCACACGTGGTGGCGACTGTGAGGGGCGTGCTGCCTTTTTGCAGCGAGCGTGCGAATCGCGTGCCATCCCCTGCTGATTCGGCCGTATTACCCCCACACGCCTCCCAGCTCATCTCGACCCTAACATCGGCCCCGCCTGCGCCATCAGCCCCAAAAATTCCTCACACCTAACTTACGCCTGCAAACCGAAACCTCTCCGCAGCGGTTACTGGTCGGACGCCGTCGACCCCCGAACCGGCCGGGCGCTGGTCGGGCCGGCCGGCGCCGTGTACGACGAGGCGACCGGCGCAGAGGTGCTGCTGGGCTACGTGCGGCGGCAGCTGCCCGGCGGCTGCCCGGCGGTCAGCCACCCCGAGGCGGGCAGCGCGGTGTACCCGGCGTCGCTCTTCACGAGCGCGCCGCCGGCGCTGTTGCTTGAGGCGGCGGCGGCGGCAGCGGACGCGGCGTGCGGTGGGCGGTCGCAGCATCAGGAGGAGCAGCAGCAACAGCAGCAGCATGCGCGAGAAACGCAGCAACAGCAGCATCAGCAGCACCAGCAGGATCAGCAGCATCAGCAATATCAGCAGCAGCAGTATCAGTACCACCAGCAGCAGCAGCAGCAGCAGCAGCAGCAGCAGCAGCAGCAGCAGCAGCAGCAGCAGCAGCAGCAGCAGCAGTATCAACATCCTCATCAACAGCAGCATGGGCACTATCACCGTCAGCAGGAACCCCATCCCCACCACGACCACCAACAATTCGAGCAGCAGCAGCAGCAGCAGCAGCAGCAGCAGCAGCAGCAGCAGCAGCAGCAGGCACCCGCCGATGAGCAGCTTCATGCCCATGACAGCGCCGCTCGCACTGACGCGCCGGCGGCAGCGGCGGCGGCCCAGCCGACCCCGGCCCACCCGCGGTGGGCGTGGCACGCGCCGCCGGTGCTGACTGTCCAGGGGATGACCCTCGCCACCAAAGGCGGCGTCCCCATTGTCAACGGCCTGAGCTTCCAGCTGCCCGCGGGCGGCAGCCTCCTCATCACCGGCCCAACCGGCGCCGGCAAGTCCACGCTGCTGCGCGCCCTGGCCGGCCTCTTCCCCGCCGCCGCCGGCGCCGCGGCGCTGCCGCCGCCGGGCCGCGCGCTGTTCGTGCCGCAGCGGCCGCTCGCGGCGCCAGCCGGCACGCTGAGGCAGCAGCTGGCGTACCCCGGGATGAGCCCTGCGGGCGGGACCGGGCGCGGGCTTGGGCCCGTGCATGACAACCACGGCGGGTGCGGCAGCCAGGAATCAGACGCAGAGCTGTGGGCGCTCCTGTCCGCCGTCGGCCTCGGCGCGCTGCCGGCCCGCCTCGGCGCGACCCTAGACGGCCCTGCTTTGAACTGGGGCGCGGCCCTCTCGCCCGGCGAGCTGCAGCGGCTCGCGTTCGCGCGCGTCCTGCGCGCCGCGCCTGCGCTGGCCGTGCTCGACGAGCCCACGAGCGCGCTCGGCGACGCCGACGGCGCGGCGCTGCTCGCGCTGCTGGCGGCGCGCGGCGCGGCGGTCGTGACCGTCGGCCACGGGCGGGCGCTCGCGGGGGCGCACCGGCTCGAGCTGTCTATCGCCGGTGATGGCAGCGGCGCGTGGTACCTGCGCGCGACGGGGGCCTGACGCCCCTTTTCTGGTCGCTTGTCCTGGGTATCATTCAGATTGCTGTCACAAGTGTATATTTTTGAATCTAGGCTTTGCCCCTTCGAAACTTGCTTTGCCAGTATACAAGTACATTTCCTAGATTCCGGCTTTCGCATTGATATCAGACCTCAGACACGTGCTTCCTGCCAAGTTACAGCCTAAAGCTTGAGGAAAGCCCTGCCAGTGGCTGATCTCCTTGACTGCCAAGTAAGCCGACAGTGCCAGGATATGCATGGGCAGCAGGCACTGGGCTCAGCACCCTGCAGGCCCACCCCGTGCCTAAGGGGCTGCTGGACGCTGACAGAGGGCTGAAGCAACGCTGGTGCCCCAATGGGTCTGGTGACCTGAAGATTGGCTTACATGGACGTTGGGGCATCAGAGTGACGTGCAAGGTGCACAGCTCACAGACGCAAAAGCACTGTTGTGATGCGCTGCTCTCCTGTGTGGGCAAACGGGGTCGACGTATTAGACAAACATGAGAGGGTACCGATAAATTGGGTACCCATGGTAACTGCGCAGCGCAGACTTCGAAGGGCACACACGGGCCCTTCGAAGTCGAAGGGCCCGTGTGTGCGTGCGCGTGTGTGTGTATGTGTGTGTGTGTGTGTGTGAGAGTGAGTGAGTGTGTGTGTGTGTGTATTGCGGGTGGGCATGGCGTGTCGGTTAGGCGGCCTCGCTCCCGCTGATTTGCCACGCCTTCAGCTCTCGGTCTTCTGTTGGGTGTAGCCAACTGCCATGGCTGGTCAACACCAGGCCGCCCCCAGTCAATCACGCGTCATATCCATCAGCAACTTGCCTGAGCGCAGCGGCGTGGCTCACCTCTTCCATACGGTTTTTACAGCACATGGCACGTGGGCCGACAGGTGTCGGCTTGCTTCAAGCATCCATGGGGCGTCACTCGCCGTCACCCCGCCGCAGCCAGTTGTTCGCATCGCGGCTGGCATGCCAGCGGCAACACATCGTGCTGGGCATGACAGTAGTATAGCGTAGCAGATATGGCCGCGCTGCACCAGGAGATCATTCACGAGCTCAACACAGACTGCGTGGAGTTCTGCCCGGCGACAGAGCACCCCGATTGGCTGGTTCTAGGGAGCTATCAACTCAACGAAAAGACAGGCGATCGGCATGGTGGGATCGACATCTTCGGCCTGCACCGCGGCTTGGCCAGCGCGCCGCCGCGCCTGTCGCTCGCGGCCACCGCGCGCGGCCTGCCGGGTGTCTTTGACGCGCGGTGGCAGCTGATCAACGGCGGGTGGCTCGTCTCCACCGCGCTATCAGATGGCACGCTGCGGCTGTACCGAGCGCCCCTTGACCTGTCAGACACACCTCCTGCAGCCCCGGCTGCCGGCCCCGAAGCGCCCCCAGCAGGGGGCGGCGCCGGCGCGAGCGGCGCGAGCGACGCGTCGGAAGCCGCCCCGCAGCTGCTCGAGGTCGACCGCCTCAAGGCCGCCACCCAGATGGCCCTGTGTGTCGACTGGGCGGCGGTCGGCGACTCATCAAGTTCGCAGCGGGAGCAGGTCGCGGCGGTCGGCAGCAGCGGGGGGGAGGTGACGCTGGTGCAGGCGGCGGAGGGCGGGCTGCGGCGGCTGAACGAGTGGCGCGCGCACGAGCTGGAGGTCTGGACTGTGGCTTTTGATAAGCACCAGGTGACCATATGTTGCCCTGTGACGCGCACGTTTTTGTTGTGTACTGAAAATACCTGTGTGCACCTGCATGTTGGTTGTCGTATCGAATGGTACTGTTTGTGCCTGCGGGTTGGTTGTTAGATCAGGTCGTTGGCTGTTGTGTGGATCGCGCACGCGGATGTGCTGGCCAAATCGCAGTGACAGCTTGGGTGGCGCTGGGTTTATTGCGGGCAGCGGGCGCCCAGAGGGGGTTCCGCTGGGCAGCGAGCACTGCCGCCCTCTTGCGGGGGAGAGGGGGGGGAGTGCGTCTCAGGTGCTCTTGAGAGCGCACCCTCTCGCGCCCCCTGGCAGCCGGGCCCCCGCAGCCGCCGCTGGGGGCGGGTGCACGCCCTGGGGAACCCACCCTCAAGACACGCCCCCCCCCCACTCCACCTGCCCCATGCACCAAACCTTGCACTCCTCTTGGTGAACCGCTTCCCTTGACTCCCACCCCGTTCCGCTCAAACCCCGGTCCCCATCCTTACCCCCCAACTCTGGCCGCCATGCGCGCCTGCGCCGCGCTGCTGAACAATTCCTCACAAAACGCCCTGAACACAACCCCGCAGCGCCACGTGCTGTACTCAGGGGCAGACGACTGCGTGTTCCAGGGCTGGGACTGCCGCGCCGCCGCGCCCGCCGTCGCCTGGGGCGCCCGCACACGCGACACCGGCAGCGACAGCGACGGCAGCGACGGCGGCGGCGGCGGCGGCGACCTGTCCGTCTTCCGAAACCGAAGGGCGCACGGCGCGGGGGTCTGCTGCGTCGCGCCGCACCCGGCCAGGGAGCACGTGGTTGCCACTGGCAGCTATGACGAGAGGATCCGGCTGTGGGATACCAGGAAGCCCTCCAAGCCGCTCATAACATCGCAGGTGTGAAGGCTGGGGCGCCGCCGACGCTGGTGGTCGATTTGTGTGTCAAAGTATGGCCGCGCGGGGACCGCGAGTCTGCGTGCCGCGCGGCGCTGCCGGCGCGTTCTGTGGTGCCGAGGCCGCAGACTTGCTGCGCCGCGCCGCTGCCCGCTGCCTGCAGCACAAGGGCTGCTGCCCTGCCTGCAGCCAGCCAGCTAGCCCTTGGTCATCACCACCACCTAAATTGACCAACTCCTGGTGGTTGACCAGCCTCAGCCTCTATATAGTGCACCCATCCCCACCCCAAACCCCGCCCCATCCCGCGCCAGGTGCCCACCGGCGGCGGTGCGTGGCGGCTGCGGTGGCACCCGCGGGACCCCTCCCTCATCCTCGCGGCCTGCATGTACAACGGGTTTGCAGTCGCGAGGGCGAGCGCGTCGTTTGACTCGGTCAAGATCGTGGAGTCGTACGCGGGCCACCAGAGCATCGCGTACGGCGCAGACTGGCACCCGACGCTGGTGGCGGCCTGCGGCGGCAGCGGCGAGGGCGACGGCGGAGCCTCCTCTGCAGGCCCAGCGGGGGGCGGCGGGGCGGGCGGTGGGGAGGGTCAGGCGGCGGCGGAGGTGGCCGCGGAGGGCGGCGGGCGGGCTGCCGGCGGCAGCGGGAACGTGGTGGCCACGTGCTCTTTCTATGACCGGCGGCTGCACCTCTGGACCACGGCGACGCAGTAGGGACTCTGGAAACCCACCAGCTGTTGACACTGAAAAGCCGTCGCTCGTCGTCATCCTTTGTTCGGCCCAGTTTCAGTGTCGACACTTTGTTCGGCCGGCGCTGCCGTTGGCGCCCCAGACAGAGCCGTCCTCCCCAGCGTCGTCGCAGGGGCTGAAAACCGATGGCTGACCTTTGCCGCCGGGGCAATGCACATCCCGGAAAAGCACATATGTCTTCCAGAACACTCTGATCATATGTGTAATTGACAATTTGCAGCGAACAACGTGATAAGCAATTTGACAGAGACAACGACAGAGTCAAAACCGCTTGCACATGGGTGAGCAAAGGTTTGGCGCATTGTGGGCTTCTGACCAAGTGATCTTACCTGCCGCTGAGTCTTGTGCCCTGTCATCCACTGGGTCGGCGGCGCCGGCAGCGGCGCCTGCGGCACACTACCTGCCGCATCAGCCACCCAGGGCCTTGCCCGCCTGCACCAGAGCCAGCCACGCACTTGCCCAGTGTCAGCGGCGGCAAAGACTCAGCTCAAAGATCGCTCCCCAACTATATGGCGCCAGTGCTACGTATTCAGGATTGGGCACATAGAAAGAGATTGATCTCAAGATACCTCAGTCCCCCCAAATAAATGTATGATACGCCTTGAGATCAGTGCCTGTCTGCCTGCTGCGCTGCCACTCTTGATGCTTCAGACGCACGGACCACCCTAACCCAACCACCTGTGCGTTTGTAGCATCCCAGCTGCTTTGTCGTACTGAGATATTGTTGCTGGAGGAAGGGCTGGGTCCAGGTGGGTGAGTTGATTAGGTGTTGTAGTCACCCAGCTGCTGCGTGGGTGCCGTGCAGCCAACAAGCCAGTGGGCCATATCTAAGCGACACACTTTGCACGCTGCCATCTTCCCGCTCCATAGGTAGCTAGGTACGACACGCACGACCCACTCCCGCGGAGATCGAGTTACGTACGGTACTCAGCACGGAGTGCACCGTTCGCTGCAATGGCACGGGTGCCAAGCATCCAGTGGATAGTATATGGTAAGAGCGGGGCTGAGGGGCTTTTCGCTCACCATTTTGCGCGCAGCTACCGCGCATCGAGCGCAACCAGGCCGCCCCCATCCTTGCACTCGCCGCATGCCTTCAACAGTCTGCCTGCTCCTTGATGTAAGCGCGGCGGCTGGAGTGGCACCAACCCCTGCCGCGGGGCAGTGCAAGGGGCTCAGTGCCGCGGCGGCCGCGCTCGACCCAGCCCGCAAGGCGCTGGCCGCGTGGGTGGGCGCGGACTGCTGCAAGTGGCGGGGCGTCACCTGCGACGCCCGAGGCTACGTGACAGGCTTGTGAGCGAGGGACATACGCCGGCATGTTATACCCTGCACAGGAGCCTGTTGATCAAGCAGTCATGCAGACCCTTGTCCAGGTGCTACGCAGCGCGGCGTCGAGGGTGCCCACACCAAATGTTGTCAGGCGCCCGACGCCAGGGTGCAAGGCGCCGCCATGTAAACACCCTTCGTGCTGCGCCGCCTTACACCCTCATAGGGCCCTGCAGGGCCTCAAGCTGGGCGGCGAGATCTCACAATTGGACCTCAAGCCGTTCGCGAGGACTCTCGTGACACTGTAGGTATCCGAGGGATCTGCGTGCATCCCTCGTCGCGGCAGCGGCGCAACCGCAGGTGTTGGTCCCCAGCCGCGACGGCGGGTTGTACGCAGTGATGCGGTGCAGTTGACAACGAAGGCGCTGTCCAGGCGAGGCGCGCTTGTCATCAAGTGGGCAGCAGTCTGGGTGAGTGTGTGCAGTTAAGCCCTCAGCAGGCAGCCCCCATGTCTTGTAAAAAAAATGCTCATGTATCTGATCCCGCGCCGCCCCTCTTTTTCTTTGTCCCTCCGCAACCCCCGGGTTCCCAGGGATCTTTCGAACAACGGCCTGAAGGGCACCCTGCCCTCGGCCTGGGGCGGCCTGGGTCTGAAACTGGAGAAGCTCTGGCTCGCTAGCAACAAGCTACAGGGCACCCTGCCGGCCAGTTTCGCGAAGCTGCTTGGCAGCTCGCCCTACGTGCTGCTCCTGGGCAACCCTGGGCTCAAGGGCTGCGTGCCGCGCGGGTTCACCGCGTCTGGTTACGGCAGCGCACCCTGGAACGCGCAGACGGGGCTCACAGGGTTCTGCTAGGTGGAGATGCGCCGCCGGCGATGAGGTCAAACGACTTTGTTGTGCTGTCTTTATAATATTCGTCATGCATGTCCGCTGGATTATATCAGAAACCCTGCTCCGGATCGCAACAGTAGCACAGGCAGCGCACACAATGGCTACTGGAGAGTAATGCATGACCGCAGCAGCGTCAAAGTGGCGCATTTTACACTGAACTTGCTTTCTTGTGCGGCGCGAAGGATTGCACGGGGGCGGCTAGCAGATGTCAGTGGCATGTGCTGCGCCAAGCGCAAACGCTGGGCACAAAGCGCAGCGCACTGGACCTCTCCTCATCCTTTTCCTGAGCTGCAGCACGGCATACGTTTGCTAAAATTCATTCCTGGCTCCATGCGACACTTGACTGCAATGATGCAAGTGTACACACGAACAGGCCATGCCGCCGACCGCGACGTTGCGCGTGCGAATGGATCCATGGCAGAGCTGAGCAACGCAGCAAGAGAGCTGGGTTATTATTGTGGATGGATTAAAATCAGCAGTATTCGCCATGCACGCCCATTCCCGCTGCTACAGTACGGTAACCCAGATCAGACCCGCCAAAAACATTTGAGTGTAGATCGTTTCAAGGTAGTGCCTCGCTCGTACCTGAGCATATGATATTGTTTGCCTACGATAAGAACTACAGGTCTTTTAGAAGCGGTACCTAAGGTTCGCTTGGGCTGCCAACAGTGCAACATGACTCAGACACCATTTGAAATGTTGTGCCTCTAGAGCGGCTACGGGCCAGACGCACGCATAAAATTGAACCATAAGATCGTCGTCAGCGCGCTACGATGGATGAAGAGATGCTCTGCGATGATGTGGAGGTTGCAGTGGAGCCTGCCCCGGCTCCCCAGAGGCGCAAGCTGGGCAGGCTACAGCGCATGTCAGTTGGCAATACCAAGGAATCGCCTAGGCGTGACCTGCCGCACAAAGCGCTGCGCGCCCACGACGTTGCCGCTGCTGGCGACCAGGCCGCTGCGCTGCAACCAGCCGATGCAGGCGCAGCTGCAGGCGACGGATCGGCAGCAGGGGCCAGCACCAGCCAGGCAGCGGCGGGCCTCACCGCGGCGGCTTCCGGCGCAGGCGCGCCGGACGCGCCTGATGGCACCCAGGCGGCACCTGTGGGCGATGGCGCGGAAGATGAGCTGGAGCGCTACATAGCCAGCCGCGAGCGGCAGTTGCAGAATGTCGACGGCGGCGACGACGACATCCGTGCAGCCCCCAGTGGCGGCGCCGCGCCGGAGGCGCCGGCCCGCAGCAGCGGCAGCGGTGAGGAGGAGCGCGGTAGCGGCAGCGAGGGCAATAAGGGCTATCGAGACGAGGAAGACGAGTACGCTGAGGTGGTCCTGCATAAGAAGGGCCAAAGAAGAGGCAAGCACCTATCAGGGGGGTACATCCCTGCTGGCAAGACGCCTCAAGCGCAGTCCAAGGGTGGCGTGGCAGGGCGCAAGCAGTGCCTGCAGTGCTGAGCGGGGCGGCGGCACAAGGAAACCATTTGCCTGTATGCCTGCGTGTGCTGCATCGGAGCTGGGTTTAGCCCCCGCGCTCTTAATTCGCACTGCCGATGGCGACTTGCTCCCCTACGCACGCACCCCGCCTCTGCAGGCGCCAGCAGCGGTGCCCGCGCCGCCGGCAGCGAGCCGGATTCTGACGCAGGCTCGGACGCTAGCGGCAGCGAAGGCCCCGGCGGCAGTGGCAGCGGCAGCGACGGGCCCGGCCTCCTCGGCCTGCTTGCTGTCGACGCTGACATGGCGGCTGCCGACACCCAGAGAATCCTCCGGGGTGAGGACGACTGGTCGGCCGCGGCGTGCTGGGGCGCGCACGGCATGCGTCGGTGCGGCCCGCATGTCAGGGGCAAACGCCGATGCCCCGTTTCGACGCCGGCTGCGACGCGGATTCCCTGCGTGCGCATTCTTGCGCTCAACCAGAAGTCACCGTTCCGCTGACGCGCCCGCGCTCCCAGCCCCGTGCTGCATGGCATATGTTGCCTCAAGGCCACGCACTCCAAAACCCGCCACCCAGAGCACGCGTCGCGCGACGCCCTGGGGCGCGGCTTCAAGCCTGAGGTCAAGCCGCTGAGCGGGATCCTGCAGCGCCTGGCCAGCCGCCAGCAGGAGCTCATAAGCAGGTGCGCGCGCACGCACACGCCCGCAGGCGTCGGCGGGACGCGCTGAAGGCCCCCTTGCTGCCGCTGCTGCTGCTGATGTTGTTGTTGCTGCTGCTGCTGCTGCTGCTGATGCTGCTGCTGCTGCCGCTGCTGCTGCCTTTCCCCGCTGCCGCTGCCGCGCGATACGTTGCTGCCACCAACGCTTCTGCGTGCACCCATGTGTTCCTACTCCAACAGCAACAAGCCCCAAATCCTGCGTCCCCTTGCACGCCGCCCCCCTCGCATGTGTCGACCTGCGCAGCGCAAAGCAGCGGCAGCCGGCAGCCCCTCCGCCCCCTGAGGCGCCCATCAGTCTGCTCAGCCTAAAGCTGCGCCTCCAGATGCGCAGCGGCGGCGCCAGCGGCGCCGGCAGCGGGGCCGGCGACGCCAACGGACACCGGCCAGCGGCTGAAGAGTGTGCGGCCGCGGCTGACGACGGCGCAGCGGCTGCGGCCGCGGGCGCGGCGGCTGCGGAGGCTGTGGGGGTCAGCAGACGAGAGGGCGGGGACGAAGCTGGCGGCGGTGGGGGTGCGGGCAGCGGGATGGATGATCCTGACGACGTGGTGGATGTGGATGAGGATGTCGATGATCTGGAGATCTTGTCGCAGCCAGAGGTGATTGGGGTTTTGAGGGGGGTGGGGCGACATTGAGACTTGCTCCGTTCTCTAAACATGCAGTGCAGGCGCTTTGAGGTGCGGCCTGGTGCCTTGATGTGTGTGTGCGTGTAAGTGCGTAGGAGTGTGTGTGTGCGTGTGTGGGTGTGTGTATGTAAGGGCTTAAGAGTGTATGTGGGTGGGTGTGTATGCGCGCTCGTGCATGTGCCGGTGGCAGGGGCTAGTTGGTGTGGGTTTTGGTGCGTCCGTGTGGGCGCACACGCGCGTGCGCGCTTGCATGTGCGCACATTTTCATGTTTCATGATGAAACATGGCCTCCTCACCTGCCGTGTCGCGCTCCTGAATGTCTCGCCTGCGCCGCAGCCCGGCGGCGCCCTCGGCGCCACGCAGGCGATGCTTGGGGAGCTCGGGCCCGGCAGCTGCGACGAGGACAGCGGCGGCGGCGGCGGCGGCAGCGGGGACGAGGAGGAGGACGGGGAGGAGGATGAGGAGATGGACCAGGAGCTTGGCAGTGGGGATGAGGATGAGGAGGGGGAATCTGAGGAGGGGCTGGAGCTCGAGCTCGAATCAGAGGAGGAGGAGGAGGAGGAGGGGGAGGAGGAGGAGGGCGGCGCGGCTGGGGCAGCCGGGGCGAAGCGACGCCCCGGCGGGGCGCCGGCAGGCGCCACCGGCGGGGCAGCAGGGGAGGAGGGGGAGGA